ATGTAACTTTAAATATATAACTTTAAATAGACTATATGTGAGTAAATTTCCACATGTATGTGATACAACCATAACTTGGTTGTTACTATATGAACAAGACTACAAAGCTACACAATACAAATCAATAAGTCTTGTGGCATTTCGCAGTCTTGTTTTGATACCCTAATCTTTTTAGCGTGCTCGAAATTCTTCGGAAGTAAGAGTCGAAAGGTCCTCTTCATTTTCGTCAGCCTGCTCTTGATTAGATAACGAGGACGCTTCCTGCGACTTTCACAATTACCTGCTGACCAATATTCGTATGCTTTCTTGTTGTATTGGCTTGGCGTCCTTTGTAGATCACTTAAAGTGCCTATGTCATAGTTTGGGAATTGGCCTATTTAGATAGTTTAGATGATTTTAAGAACTTTTGCAATATATTTTATAATTCCAAAATTTGATCTTCATGGACTTTCAGGGGCTCAAAGTTGCCGATTTTTTGCTTAACCGAGAGGGTAAAAGGACTAAGGCGAGAGCCTGAAAACGCTGGATGTGACATCAAACCGGGAACCGCAATTCTTCTAAATTTGACAACACTGTATTTTATATTGTCAGAGGCAAGTTAAAATAGCTTCTCAGTTGGCTTTTTTTCAATATTCCTCCAATTCATTTGAGATGTGGTTGACATTAGTGACTTCAAACTTTACTGAACCGAATGACAGCCCAAATGAATTGGAAAATAGTTTTGTTACGAGCTATATGATGGAAGTTGAAGATGACGCTCCTTTGACAGCAGAAACACAAAGTGATGAAGAACAGGCCATCATACAACCATATCAAAACAAACCAATTGCCCATGCAGAATGGGTTGCTAACTGTTACGAAGAGAGGCAAGAGCAAGCAGATAGATTGGAAATGTTTAGGGGTCGCTTCGAAGGACATGCAACTGTAGACAGCTGTCGAATAGCTTGTCTTTCTGCACTAGCTTTTAATAGCCGAATTATATCATTTGCAAATTATTTGACTTGTAATTTAATAACTTTTTTATATTTTTTCTGTGTACAGGTGTGAATGTGACAATTGTAAAATAGACCTGCTGCAAAATGAGAAAGAGTGCTAATGTTGCCAGGAAATCGACAGTTGTATTGAGGCACTCAAAAGTGATATTGTTATACAGGAAGTAAATGGTGTTCCCCAGTGCATAACACTTCATCCAGGCTTCAACTCTGTATGTTTAGATACTTGGTCATTGCGCATGGCTGGGCCAAAGTACAGAAAGATGGACAGAAAGAAGTATGTAATGGGTAGGGGTGAAAACAGGTAACATGATTAGACAGATTATATAAATAACTGTTATTATTGACACCAAGTGCTTTATCCCCAGAATGGGAAATTCGACATTTCAAACTGCTGTTAGGCACAAGACATAGAGCATTTGACCATTTAAGAGGGCATCTCTGTAAGAGCGGACCACTCGATCTGGGCTTCAAAAATAGATTTCTCTTATATTTCTACCATTGATACTCTCATCTATCCTAACTACGAAACTGACGTTAAGATCGTTCTAACGTAGTTTTTACAACCGCTATGCGAGTTTTTGTCCCAGGACCCAAGTTAATTAAAATATGCCGGTTTCTGAAATCGCCGAAGCCTACAATCACAGTCCGCTTGCTCTATTTTCTCTGCTAATCAGAGCTTCGTTTTCGTGTCTGAGCTGCACTAGAGTGCTCTTTCTACTAAGAAACAGTAATATATAGCTGTTTAGTTGCACCTGGCAAATAAAAAAAAAATCCTAATTGAGACCCTTCAACGCATGATATCAAATTCGAGAATTGTTGGTGCAAAACATTGCAGAATTCTCATTTGTGGCACCTGCCCAGGTTCTAAATTTTTTAACTTTGAAATAGGATGTTATTCCATACATCTACGCAATAAAGTTTGCGGCACATGGCATTTATATGAAATCAGGAAGTTGACAATTTTTGCATTTTTTAGCTATTTCTGCGTGTGACACAAGAATCCAATAAGCATATCAGCCCCTCCTGTTTTGTTTATTAGCCTCGCTATTGCTGAAAAATCAACAACACGTTAAAAACCTATTCCTAAATGTCCTTTGTCTGATTCTAAAGTGGAAGTCAAGTCCGTTCTGCTCATGCGCGTGTTGTTTACATTTTTTGTTTTAATTCAATTAAAATTACAAAGGTGACATCCTCACAATAGCTCATTACGCATTCAGAATGCATCACAAAAGGTAAAATTCACCTGCTAAAGAAAAAAATTAGTTCCAAAACGACAAATTTCGAAAGGTAGATGTTAGAAAGCAGCTCCAGTCAATATATTTAGTTTTTTTATGAAAATAATCTTAATAACAATTAATCGGAATATCCACAAATGCTCGTTCATATTGAGTCAGATTATTGTCCAAAATTTTTTATTTCACTTCATTTTTTAACTGAACGGTAGATACACCAGACTTAATAAACAACACTACTTTCTATAATACATGGTGTATATAACCTAGAAACCTCTAATACTGACCTTTTGATATTTTTGGTGCATAGGACGTTTTGAACATTTTATCCAATTCTTTAACTGCTTTTACAGACAAATGTTTTTTTTCCACGTCCAGTGTATTTGACATCTTGAATACACTGTCATTATGTTTTACATATGCTATGAGTATATCAAATTCGGGAGAAACTATTGAATCCTTTGCAATCTTTCGAGTGTGAACTGTTGCTTTGGCTACGGCAACAATTATTGGAATAGGGGTTAGCGCATTAGTCAGTAAAATTATGCTGCATCAACTCTTTCAGTCAATGTTTTTCCTGACTACACTCGCATTTTTGAATGAATGATTTCTCCAAACAAATTCCGACTTTCGGTCTTTAGATCTATATACCGTACTTCGAAGTAGTCTAGTATATCTTTCAGCTTAGCAATATTGAATACTGCAATTTTCTCTTTGTGGTAATAGTCGCATAGATCATATACATCGTATACAATTGGGTGTCGTAGACTTATACTGTCTCTGATTTCTTCAAGCAAACTGAGCCATTCTGATTCCCGTATTACATCTTCGTCATCTGTATCTGCAATCCTGGACAAAACCATCTGCGACACTCTATTAAAACATTCCTTTGTGGCTTTTTTTACCAGTTAGACCGGAATAATTTACTCGTTTGCCCCCCTCCGCCCCCCAAAACAATTTTGGACGTTTTATCCGTATTCTACGAATCCAATCAACATTGAATGATGGGGGAAAGGGGGAGGTTTTCTAAATTTACGATAACATTACAATATTTTGTCAAGTATAATTGGAAGTGTCGCAGATGTTTTGTCCAGGATTGTCTGAAATGAGTCGAAATTACATTCTTTTATATATTTCGCTTGTTATACATGTCCTTGCCATGTATTTTGTTTATGCGCATTGCCCATGACCTACTTATATTCATAATTACATCAAGTACCTCATTTCATTAATTAAATACGTCATGAATACCTTAGTGTTTTGGAGGGGGTAATAGTGTGTGGTAGAAACTTTTTGCCGAAAAAATCGCATACAATACAGTATATTATTTTTAATTTTAGCAATTAAAAGCAACGAAATGTTGCGGAAATAATTGAGAAGTAAAACTATCGCGTTCTAGTCGATTCGTTGCAATAATTCAGAATTAATTAAGAAATATATATACGAGTCATATTTGTTAACTGTATATATATAAGACCTGCAAGACACAATAGACAACTTATAGTCGACCATGTGAGAAGGTGCCTAGACGGACATGCAAACGATCAGTGAATGAGATGCAATGTATACAACACAAAAAATATATTTCCATAAGAGTTCGTGCAACTTATATATTGATAGATTATACATTCAGTCTATACATAGACGAATGCGTGTGGTATCCAGTAGAACTAAAGGACAATAAATTCAATATAGTTACCACGTTTCTGGTATTTACTGCATATATTTAGAATATTAAGCCACAACTATATAATTGTGAATTATGCATTTTGACACAAGTTTTCCTGGTGTGGTAAATCAATGCTCATATTTTCCCAATGTCATACCTAACGGTGTACCACTGACCAATACACTAAGACTGTGATAATATCCTAAGTTATGGGATATAATACAAACCAATGAAATGGACTTGAAAGAACGTGTGTTGCTTAGTATTCCAACCTACTTCAGACAATATTTAGCGCGATAATTTTAAAATTCTCCACGGTGTACCATTTTAACCCTACAAAAGGTTATATATATATATATTCTTATATGTTCACGCTGTACCATGGTACACCGTCAATGCGCATGCGCTATTATACGACAATAACAAAATCGGATTAGTCATTTAGTGCGGCGGTCACGCAATATATTTCCACTCAACAGCTAAGCGTTAGTCTGTCTAACAACACAAATAAGTATGGATAAATGCATTTTAGAATATTCTTAGTGCAAAATAGTTGGTACGTATATACACTATTAGGTACATTGACTTGCTCTCCGACGTATATTAAATGCGCGAAAGTCGTCGCATATGATTCTTAATCGCATTCTATACAAGCTATCGAAGCATAGCGTTGCATGAGGGTATTATATTACCTTGTTGACCATGTGGTATTTGCTTCTTGAAGCCTAATACATTATAGTGAGCCATAGTTACTACGGGAAGAGAAAGTCCTACATAAAACACAATTTTTAATGCGCAATGCCTTGGTTATTCAATTTGAAAGATACAGACAATCCTGGACAAAACCATCTGCGACACTCTATTAAAACATTCCTTTGTGGCTTTTTTTACCAGTTAGACCGGAATAATTTACTCGTTTGCCCCCCTCCGTCCCCCAAAACAATGTTGGACGTTTTATCCGTATTCTACGAATCCAATCAACATTGAATGGTGGGGGAAAGGGGGAGGTTTTCTAAATTTACGATAACATTACGATATTTTGTCAAGTATAATTGGAAGTGTCGCAGATGTTTTGTCCAGGATTGTGGATCTGAGTGTACGTTTTCATTGGAAGAATTCTGATTTGAGGATCTTTTTCGCGTGGCAGAAAGTCGTGAAAAAAAACCCTGCAATTTGCGTCTTTGATAACCACTCTTCTCTTTTGAAACGTCTTTCACTTTTTTCATTTTTTGCGGAGCGCATTTCCGACGCAACTCGCTCAGGGTCTGCTTTTCTACCAATCCTTTCCCCCATGTTGTACTTTGCTGTCAGATACGACTGTATGTTTTCTGTAAAACGAGTGTTTCCTGGTCCTGGTTTTAAAGCCCAGCCGATGCCAAGCCACAAAGAAATTTCTTTACGGGACATATAAGATGGTAATCCAGTTGGTTTGGACTGCATGTAGGAATAAAAGCGTGAAAATTTAGTTGCCCAGTCTCGATGAATTCCATCGTAAAATTTTTCATTTCTTTTTGCTTGGAGTTCATGCAAGCCAATGGCCATGTGAAGCTTGAGTTCTGGAAAAGAGTCTGAGTTATAGCTACATCCTTCTTCAGGACAAAGAAATAGCGATGGCTGATTATAGTTGTCAATCGTGTTTTCTGGAGTTCCTTGGTCGTTTTTGAGTGATAGCTAGCTGTCTTGTTTCACTGAAGTCGAAGAAACTTTGTCCTTCGTCTAATGATATGTTGGTTGTTCCTTCATGTTTTACATATACAGACTCCCATGGTATGAGCTTCCCAGGACCGACATCGTAGGCTCTCCAGGTACGCAATCCTTCTTTTTCATATTGAAAGTTATGCAAATCACTGAAGTTTTTGATTTTCAGTACCTTAAGATTTTCACTGGATTAATCTAAAGTGCAGACAGCTGCTGTTGTCCGCTTAACTGGCCTCTCTTCCAAAGCTTTCCCCATATCAGACGCATTCAAAATATCGTTCCATTCAGCGCAGTATCTCCTGATTGATGCCTTCATTGGGCAAAGAACTCTATCACATACATCCTTACCCTGTTGAGGCTCAGAAAAGTCATAGCATTCAACCGCAATTCCAGAACGATCACTTACATCCTGGATTGCTGCAAGGAGGTTGGTAGTGTGATAGCAGCCTGCCTCGTCAGAACGAACACATATTGTTTTTACGTTTGGTACGCTCTAGGAGGCTTTCAAAAATAGAAGTCATGGCAAACCAGTCCTGTGAGCAGGAGTCAATTAGATGTGCATAGGACAAAACACGAGTAGTCTTGGATTGTTTGTTATAAGTCACCATGCTGCTAATATGCCAGCTGAGCCCGCGTTTTCCATGCCACTCCTTCTGTTTTTCTCTCTACCTCATTTGATTGAACTTCATCGCCTAGTCAATTATAATGAGGGCAGAGTTGTCTGACAAATTACGTATTGCATCTTGTTTTGCTTGTTCCTGGTTTACGCCTCGCATAATATGGCACTTCCAAGCAAAGATTTTGGTCTTAGACGTGTTGAAGTCATAGAGTAGATCATCTCGTTGTTCTTCGCTATAAAGATTACTGGAATGATTCTTTATGCAGGCTTCTACTTCATCGACTACCAATCTTAGTTCGTTACATCGCTCGCAAGATATATGATGTGATGAATGTGAACACTGTTTTTGAAAATCCTTATCACTAATATCGCTTAAGGCAAAGCACCTACAGTGGTCAGCACACTCGCTTTCTTCATCCATGAATCCGATTTGAACGTCGTTTTCAGATACTTCATGCCGTCATTCAACTTAGTTTTTAAGCTGGTCATCTTCTGTTTGTCACCACCAGATTCACAAAGCTCATCAATAATAGTTGATAATCGCTCAAAAAAAAGCGGATGCCCCTTCGCCAGCAGTGTTATCGAGGCCACATAATGATGTACGTTGAGATGCTTCGCGCACTTCCAAAATTTGATACATTGTGGAACGACTGATGGGCTCAAGTGACTCTTCTTTGCAGTATTGTAAGTATTGCATCACCATAGTGGATCTTGTAACAGTACGGATGACATTAGGCATTGTAATTTGGCTGCCTCCATCTAGGGACAGCTTTCTTGTTCCGTACGTAACGTCCTGGTAAAAATAAGGACGGTTGATAAACTCAACAAAGTGATCAACCTTATGTGTGTCAAGACACACACGATGATGGAATATTTTAGTAACAACAGATCCTAGGCCTGTTTGCTTAGCATGCAATCTGGACAGTTTGATTTGTCTCATGCTGACTTTTTCATAAGGTTCATGAAAGGCTTGCAATTTTTTCATGGTATGATGGTATGCATATATACTGAGTATTTGTCTCTTCACGTTCCGAGTCTGTGCATCACGATAGGCACACATTAACGCAATTAGCTCAGTTGTAGGGCCTCTGGGTTCTTGTTGGATTGCTTGGAATAGCTTGTTGCCATCTTTAGGCACTATAAACTCGCAAACTGTTTGACATGCATCTAAAGCTCTTTCCTTGCAAATTTTCTTATCTTCTATTTTTGCTTCGTCCCAGCTTGCAGGTAACTGAAACACCAGTGGCTCTATTGCTCCAACTGGCGTGTGTGCCGCTATTTTAGACATCGATTCGTTGAAGTCTTGCACAGCTTTGTCCCTTCTATTTGGAGAGTCGGCACACAAGGCTTCCAATGAACCACCACTCTCACGATCACTGCAGCATCCAGGTGTCCAGTCAGGGCCAGCGTCACAACACCTACGAGGTGTTTCCGGTTCAAAGATTGTATGTTGCATGCTGAAAATGAAAAAATGATTAATGACAAATTTGTAAATCATTTAGTCACAGCCAATCGTGCTGATAATCAAATCTTAATGCTGGCCTCCCTCACAATAGATTACCTTTGTCATTCTGTTCTTGTCCAAGGAACCTTCAATCTTGGCCATAAAGCGTAGGACGATGATGCATTTTTGTGCATTTTTCAAGCCTCCCCCCTTCCCCCCATTCAACGTTGCCGTTTGGTCTACTTTTATGGTCGGACATATTGTACAGATAAAATTCTACATGTACTTGAATTGCGGGAAACCAACATTGAACGGGGGGAGCGGGGGGAGGTGCAATATGATTTTAAAACCCAAGCATATTAAAAAGTTGCGAATTTGTTTGGTCGTTGTACGAACTTTTGGCCAAGATTGCCTTGAACTCGCAATCCTGTACCATTGCCGACATTGATGGACTGTTTTTTGTGTTTTCTTTGTGTTTGGTTCTACATTTACCAAAAATTGCTGTTCACAAAAAAGCAATGCATGAATTATTGTTATTATTGTTGTTACTACCGGGTGGCCCAAAAAAAGTACTCCTGTTTGATTTATAATAACTTCTAAACAAGTAAAGCTATCAAACAGAAATAACTTGCATTAAATAGAGGAAGGACTAACTTAGATTTTGATATGTTACAGTTGTATTTTACTTAAAAATTCACGGAGATATTAATGTTCAAAATCGGGAGCATATTTTGGGATGTGTCTAAAATTAGCGAAAATCGGCGTATCAAATTTTCACTCCAGCGTTTGTTTGCTTAATGACATATCAGGGTAAATTGTATTTCAGCGAATTGTCGTTAGTGTTTGCAAGGATATGGCGTAGATTTAGACATCTTACATGTAAGTCTTAACTTATTGTTTCCTGAAATATGAACGTTCGAAATTATGTAAGTATTTAATAGGTCTTTGCAAACTTAAGGTACTGAAAGACCATGCAAGGCAGGCGCTTCAATTTTTCTTAAATAACCTATTTTTATGTTTTTCATGGGTTCAAAACAAAGTTGATTATTCTCGGTTAGAGCAGGATTAATAGATATAATAATACTTTGTTTCATAATAAACAATTTGTCAAGTGTCATTTATTTACTGGTAATAGTGCATGTTTCAGTCGGGCAAATCTTGATTAATATTTGATACGCCGATTTTTGCATATTTCAGACACATCCAGAAATATCCTCCCGAATTTAAAGATTAATATCTCCGTGAATTTTTAAGTGAAATACAACTGTAATATATCAAAGTCTAAGTTAGTCCTTCCTCTATTTGATGCAAGTTATTTCTCTTTAAAAGCTATACTTGTTTAGATGTTATTACGAATCAAACAGGAGTACTTTTTTTTGGGCCACCCGGTATTATCGTTATTGTTATTATTGTTATTGTTATTATCATTATTATTATATTAATACTACCATTTTCGAGCTTCCGTGAAGCGTGCATGTATAACTAGCTAGGTTTTAAAACATTTCTTCAGCGTGAGTTTGTCATTCAAAACTTTTTGTTTCGCTCCTAAAACATTTTGTTTTGACATAATAACTTCTGTGGGTGTGGTATAAAACATGTTGTTTTGTATGCGAAACTTTGAATTTCAGCGTCAAAACTCAAAACGACACTTGTATTACAGAGGTTTGATACGTAAACATATCCAGAAGGTGCTATAAATCTGTCATTTCGCTTTCTATAGCAATTCTGTCAGTATAAAGTCAGTCCGTGTGAAAAATAAGAAGAAATTTTCGCGTGCAAGACAGTGTGCTTGACACCACGCCCACAAAAGTTATTATGGCAAAACAAAAAGTTATGATTGACAAACTCATGTTTGACATAGCACATAAATTGTGCTTGGCTGTGGCACAATTAAATTGAGTGCAGTTTCTGATGTTTTCTCTCCTGCCTGGAGCAAGCGCTTGTCTCAATGACGTTGACCTGTGGACCACTCTAACGGGGAAACCTTCGTCTTTAAAAATGTTGGTAATTTTCCTATTGATGGCATCTGAGATGTAAGGGGTGCCGAGATATAACCAATCGGTATCATTGTTTGGCGGTGGTTCATGATGACGACGTGATGCGTTCTCGGGTGTTATATCATTTGTGAAACTGCGTGGGTAATCATTTTGGGAAAGGACATCTATGAATGCTTTCTGGTGGTTCTCTTTCGTAGTTTGGTTAGAGCATCTTTGATCTATACGTCGCATTTTGTTGCGGATGATATTTCGCTTGGTCTTCTTAGGTATAGCTGATTTATAGTTGATGCAGATAGGTTTCTTTGCTTTCTTTTTGTAGAATTCAAACTCTGTATTCCCGTCTGGTCCGATGGTAACCGTGAAATCAAGCAGGGAAAGGGATCGACCATCCGGGGAGGTATTTGGCTTTTCAATTTCAAACAGTATCCGTGGGTGTGCCGAGTTCATAATAGAATGGAATGTATCTGCTTCTTTCTCATCTGAGGCCTGGCTGTATATATCAACATATCTATCGTATGGGTTGGAAATGTTGTAAAGATCGATAACACCGCATTCCAGACTATCCATAAACAGAATAGCTAGGATACCTGAAAGGCTTGATCCCATCGGAAGGCCCTCGATCTGCAGGAAAACCTGAGTATTGAAACAGAAGTAGGTATTGTGTAATATGACAGTTAGAAGATCTTTAATGTCTTCCCTTGTAAGCGGTCCAGTGGTGGATGGAAAATTGTCGACTGCAATGTTGATGGCTTCATTGACTGGGACTGAAGTGTAAAGGGCCACTACGTCCAGGCTGAACAGATAGGAAAGTTGTTGATTTGCTGTGTGATCTGTTTGTTGGATGCGGTCTATTAGCTGTAGGCTGTTCTCTAGATGTGCTGGGTCATGTTTGAGCAGTGGTCTAAGGGTTCGAGCAAGTAAACATGAAAGACGTGTGGTTGGGCCATTGAAGTTGGAAACTATGGGTCGGATTTTGACTGCTTGAGTCAATTTGTGTGTTTTGATAAGGTGGTAAAAGCGTGGTAGATCGGTGTTAGTAGATGTGAAACTGCGCCTCACGTATTTGGAGATGTTTCTTCGGTTGCATATTCTCTTCCAGACTGGGTTGATCTTGCCTTCAACCGTTTTGGCTGACATACGGGGAATTTTACGATATGATGACATCTCAGATGCCATCGATAGGAAAATTACCAACATTTTTAAAGACGAAGGTTTCCACGTTAGAGTGATCCACAGGTCAACATCATTGAGACAAGCGCTTGCTCCAGGCAGGAGAGAAAACATCAGAAACTGCACTCGATTTAATTGTGCCACAGCCAAGCACAATTTATGTTTTCGAAAAATGTTGTTTACAAAATCACCTGCGACCAATGCCATGACAACTACATAGGGAGCACTATAAGAAATCTACACGACCAAGTCAAAGAACACCTTACACAAGCCACCTCGTCCGTTTTCAATCACTTAAACTCCTGCCAATGCAACAACAGCAACTTCAACATAACCGCCGAAGTTCTTACGAGCGACCCTGATACTGTCAATTTACGACTCAAAGAAGCCATTCACATCCGTAAACATAAACCAAAAATCAATTCCTGGGAGGAATACAGCGAACTATCGGATCTCTTATTTTAATTATTTTAATTATCTCATTAGCTTAATTACCTACTCTCAGTTGTACATACTTTGCAATTCTAATTCAGGACACAGTATTTATAGTTGTTCTCACAAATAACTCACTTTATCTCTGATGATGTCATAGACGACAAATGCTAAGACGTTTTTAAACTTTTTATATTTTTACAGTTTTAAAATAAAATTTCCGCCTAACTTTACTTTACTTTTAACAGTAGCTTTTGGCCTCACTTGAACCAACAACATTTATATAATGCTACTGAAGGACAACTTTATACATAAATAGAGAAGTATGCAAGAAATAAGTCAATAATACTCACATGATCCAATTTCGATGATTACATTGAAATTTATTTTCACTTCTCTTGCGAAAGCAACGTTTATCACATGGCGATCTTTGCATTGCTTTTTTCTTGGTCCAGTGTGCCCTGGATAGCGACATGACCGCGGTGCACGCCAATATCTCCCTAAACCATGGCGATGGCTTGGACATATGACCATTTGATCAATATGAATGGCATTTAAGTCAAAATATCCAGCATGCGTGAGAATAAGGTCACTTTCTGTTAGTCCAGAATATCACAAAGAACAGCTCGTGAGGTGTTGTGAAATATCGTCTTGGCATTCACTTAACTTAACCAGTTCTGATTTTCCTCTAGAACTTCCACAGATGATCTTCTTGCTTTCTTTAAAACTACAACTTCTTAACTCCATTTTTGAAAAAGTAAACAAGTAAAGAAACTCGACTTCTTTAATATCGCCAGACGCCTTGTTGCAGGAATAAACATCGATATAAATAGTTTGTAAAAGCTTATTAAATGGAAGTAGATGCCCAGGGGAATGCCGGGGGGGGGTGTTCATAGTATAAATTGATTGGCACATAAACTAGGCAGATCTAGCTGGGTGCATTGCCAGTTATAAACAAATTAAATGAATACACCTATCAATGTTAGCATTGATGCAAAAAGTGGGGTTGGGCAGTTTATGTTCAAGCACTTTTTTCATCCGAATTTCCTACTAAAAATATGGGGCAGCAAATGTGACACAAATGTTTTCAAAGCTGTTGTATGACATTTAGTTTTTATCAACACACAAGAGGTTTTTGGTTCAAATATCCTAACCTGTATGAAGAAAATTAAGATGAACTTCCAGCCAAGGATGGGACCTTACATGAATACTTTAGGTTTAAATGCAGCACAGATCACCTAACTGCCTTTACATTATTATTATTATTAAGCCTTTATTGAATACTTTGCATACAGACGTGCAGGTTTACATGAGTTTAAAACAGCATAAAATGTATATACAATAATTATGGTAATTTAAAAAGACATCTATTAATAAAACACTGCTTAAACCGTTCAGTGTGAACTTTCAGCAATATAAAATCATGTTCTCTTTCACATAGTTTTCTTGTCCGTTTTTCGGGCAATAGATCGTACAAGCAGTGTCTCGCATTTGATATGATTTTATTCCACATAACTTTATCTCTTTGCTCTATTATGTCAAAGATAGATATGCAATTTTCCGTATAGCCAATTCTTACTGCACGACGACAGAATTTGTCTATACGTTTGATGTACTTATCCTTATATGCACAAGCCCATACTTCTATGGCATAAAGAAACACTGACATTATTAAACTATTAAATAGGACAGTAAGATCATCCATCGAATATCCAAAGTATTTACATGCTCTGAGAATATATAACCTAGAGCTTGCCTTATGTAGCATCATATCAAAATGAGTATCCCAATTATTAGGGTCCTCATTCAAAGTGACACCCAGTAAAGTTAATTCACTTTTCCTGTTTATCCGTGGCAGTTGCTGTGGTAAAGTTTTCCTGGTCTTCCCTCGAACAATCATTTCCCATGTTTTACTAAAATTAAGTGTCATTTCATTTTCTATCGCCCACTGTTTGACATTTTTACCTCTTCTACCGATAAATCAGGGATATTTACTTCTTGAGGAACACGCCGTGTAAGATCATCTGCAAACTTTTCTAATAAGTTTCTGTCCGAATTTAAAGGTTTAATATCGTTAACCATAACCGAGAATAACACTGGACCCAAGACCGAACCTTGCGGTACACCTCTATTAACTCATTAACTGGCAATACGCCCGCATGCGCCCGGAGATTGGCAAGTGGGTAACTGGCAATGCGCCTGCATACACCCTCAACGACACGTCAATTTCATTGGCCAATAATAAGAGATATGCATTTCACGTTGCCTAGCAATGGACACCTATAAAAGCACCCGATTCCGCTCTTTCAAATGACACCTCGTGCAAGCTTGTGCAATTCGTATTGACCAAGTTACGAGCGTTTAAAAAATATTTTTGCCCAAAGGTTTTTAAAATCTGGCTGAAGCACTTCGTATGTTTGAGAGTAGTGAAGACGAACGCGATTTTGATGGGTTTTTAATCGACGAAACAGTTGAAGAAACACAGCCTATCGCAGCAGGAACTTCGGCGGTTACATGGCGAGACATAGCGGGCGACTCGGACAAGGAGGAAGAAGATTTTGACAGTTTTTCGGACCAGGGATTGAAAGTCGGTTGGAAAGCTCAGTTGGCAGAACATTGGGCTAGTATTCCAAATGTTGTAGGTTCGATTCCCATTGTGGCCAGGGATATTTTTCAAGTTTGCCTGGTGTGGATAGACACTCAGAGTAACATCACAAACATATTCACCTTAGTACATAACACCAACACAGAAAAAAATCAAGATCCTTCATAACTCATAACTGTGGTCATAACTTATAACTGTGGTATATAGAGGTGTGCGTCGGATCGGATTGACCTCTCTCAATCCGATGGTTTGTCTAAGTTTTCAATCCGAATCCGATCCGAAGATGAAAAAAGTAATCCGATCCGAAACAATGTTTATAAAATCCGATCCGATGCTAAAATTCGTAATCCGATCCGATCCGAACTTAAGTTGTGTACGCTGTACAGCGTGCGTTAATTATTATGAACGTATTTTTTCATGATCATAAACGATATATTGGAAATAATGAATCTCTAGCAAAAATAAGCAGATACGAATCCGATAAAAATTGCAGGGCGATATCACATAATTATGCCTTATAGCGTTCACATTTACAGTGCACAGTAACAGCAGTTTATATTTTATTAGAATTAGCATAGGAAAAAAACCCAACTAGTCAAAAATGTTTTATTCAGTATAATAAATCATGAGCTTGAGCTAGGTTTACATTTTAAAACATCTTAAAGTTTATCACTAATAAACCTCATTGTCAGGCTTCATGATACATAAACCTAACAAACCAAACAAAAAAACACAACATTCCTAAATTTCCTATATATCCAATTCCCGTACGTAACTGAGAAATATACGTCCAAAATCCAAATAACTCAAAACTCTTTTTAGAAATATATGTCACAAGAACTCAAAACACTTTTATACCAGGTGTTCCAAAAAAAAACTGGACACTGTTTGATTTCATACAACGTAAAATCATACGTAAAATCATACGCATTTTCATAATTTACAATTTCAATAACGTAAAATCATACGCAATATCATATCAAACAGTGTCCAGTTTTTTTTGGGACACCCGGTACTTTATTGTCAGCACTCGGCATAATATAGTAGCTATTACTCCGCTGAGTCCGCTTCGACCAAATTGGTCTGCTCATTTGGCTCCAAAGCCTTCCAGGCACTTCCTGCCATATAGCTTTGGATGCACAGCAAGGCGTTTAGATTACGTGGAGCTAGACGCGTACGCCTAACGTTGATTGTCCACCCCGCTTGCGAGAAACTTCTCTCTGATACAAGAAAAAATAATATAAAATACGTGATACAAGAAAAATCAAATCTGAACCGATCCGACAAAAACCCTGCAAAATCCGATCCGACAGAAACAAAACGAAATCCGATCCGAGTAATTTACTGTCCGAATCCGATCGGATTCGGATCGGATTCGCACACCTCTAGTGGTATATATCAGACAACTATTGTGATGTACAAGCGTACGAAAACCAGCCTAAAGCCCATTATTACTAAAGTACAAATAATACAATAATTATGCATTTGTTTTGTTATTTTTGTAATTGAACATTACAAATATTACAGAAAATTTCTAGCCTTCGACCCAGGTTCCCAGAAAGAAAAAAAATTTTTCTACCCCTGTTTCGGACATCGAAGTTCAAGAACTCGACAGCGACAGTGTGTGCGAAAGTGGAAGCGAGATAAGTAGCGATGGTTTCGATGATATTTTTGAATGGAAAGATAATATAAGTAGTGTTAGTGTTCAAGACTTTACTGCCGATTTTGGTCTTCGACATGGGTTGGGTTTAGATGCCTCCCCTAAGGACTTTTTCGACTTGTTTTTCGGCGATCAGTTTTTTTATCATATTGTGCATGCTACAATTTCGAATGTGCATTTTTAAATCACAATGATCAAAATTTTACAACTGACCGCAATGAAATGTCTGCATTTTTTGGCCTCAACATTTTGATGGGAATAAACCAACTACCAAAAATCTCACTTTATTGGGATTCAGATTTGTTTTCAGGAAATACCGGCTTCAAAATTACAATTCCTTTGAGACGTTTTTGGATTTTAAATAGGTATTTTCATATTTCGAACCCGTGGCAAGAAAACAAGACGGATAAACTTGCAAAAATTCGGCCCCGTATTTCAAAGCTCGAAAACGCTTTTGAAAATGTTTATGTGCCTGGAAAAAATATTTCGATTGATGAAGGTTTGATTAAATTTAATGGTCGTTTATCTTTCAAGCAATATATGCCAAAAAAAACGAACAAATTTGGTATTAAAGTTTGGATGTTAGCCGATTCTGAAACTTAATTCGTGCCGCGCTTTCAAGTTTACTTAGGTAAACAACAAAATGCCGAAAATGCAGATGAAAATGATGCGGAAGAGGCACGAGGTCTCTGTTTTAAAGTTGTTGATTTCCTGGGAAAACCCTACTATAATACTTAACGTCATTTCTATTTCGATAACTATTTTTCCTCAGTTCCTTTACTCGAACATTTACTTTAAAATAAAACTTACGCATGCTCGACCTTGCGCCATAATAGGAAACAATTTCCGGCCGATTTAAAAGATAAAACTCAAACGCAGTGAGATTCGAACACGACAAAATAAAAACTTAGTTTGCATGACATGGCAGGGCAAGCGTTTAGTGACGATTTTATCGACCAATGTTGATCCACAGCTTGAACTTTTCGGCCCTTTGGATGAGCGCACAGCTAAAACAAAAGCCGTTCCAGAAAATTTGCGCGTAAAACCTGCCGTCATTTCTTTTTACAATAAATTTATGAATGGCGTAGATGTAAATGACCAATATAGGAGCTACTACCCTGTAAGGAGCTCAATCTAAAAAGTGGTGGAAATATTTGGCTTGGTTTTTCGTGAATATTTCGATTGTAAACAGTTTTATTTTGCAAAACTTGCAGACTGATCAACGCCGTCGCCTAAAAATTTAGATTTCCATCTTGCTTTGGCAAGGCAACTAATTTTGACTTATAACGGCTACAAAAAGATTTCAAGTGCTCCAAGTAGCCATAAAAAGGATCTTCCAGTGGGTAGAAATGTTAAGGGCCATAGCTTAGTATTGTCTTCAGGGCAAAAACGAGTGTGTGTGATGTGTTTGAAAGCTGGAAGGAAGCGAGCGACGGGAAGAACGTTTGAAAGTAAATATAAGTGTGCTCAGCGTAATGTAAATCTTTGTAGAGAGCGACCTTGTTTTATGGAATGGCATCAATAAAGTTAGTCTTATAGACAAAACCTTTTTCATGTTTGCATGTTTTTTGTATTATTAAATAGTGTTTTTAAATAAAGAAGACTGGCTCTTTGCCAGCCTGTTAACCGAACAAGGAAGCCATGTCAGTGCTGAAAGCAGCACAGCCTGAAGGTGTCAACAATATATTTCACAAAAAATTTCCCCCAAATTCCTACTTGTTTAGTTTCGTTTTATACTATATCAATTTCAGATATTTTATCAATAAAATGAACGAAAAACCAACCGTTCAAAGTGAGTGATGAAGGGTAAATTTTGCTCGGAAACAGTATTGTTATTCATGGAACAAACTTTATAATTTACAAACTTTACATGATAGCAAGTCAAAAATATTCATCACAAAATTTCAAATTTTTTGAGTAATACAAATCCATTCGCTTTAAGATTGTAAATCCTGGCTTTCGACGTAATTTGTGAAACACACATTAAAAATAAAATAAATCAAATATCAAAATGTGTAGTATTTCAAGCTTTTAAATATTCATAGTCCTAATTATGGAACAAAATTCTTCAGAAATGAGTCAAGTGAAAACTATAAACATATGTCATTATAAAACTATTTGTGATAATTTAAACATAAAATGAAACCTTATTTATCAGTCTGAGCCCCTGTAAAATTTTAAGCTTTTTTATTAGGTTGCTTTTAAGTTACAGCCATTTTTGTAAGTGCAGTAGATAGGAACTGAAATTGGCCATTTTGTTTGCCAGTTGGTGGGGTAGAAACTTTGCTACAGTCTGCCACTTAATGAGTTAATATTAAGAAATTATGTAGATATCCCATCTGCTAGGACTCTGTGTTTCCTGCTACTAAGAAAACTTATCACCCAGTTTATGACATATGGGTTAATGCCGATAGATTTCAACTTCTCACATATTATTCGGTGGGATACTGAGTCAAAGGCTTTGCTGAAATCAAAAGAATATACATTCACACAGTACGCTTTTTTATCAATCCATTTTAACCAATGATTCTGGCATTTAAGTAGGGCTGTTGTTATACTAAATCCCTGTCGATACGCATGTTGGTCTGGAGTAATGTGTGTATTTATTGGCAACACCAACTCGTTCTCATAGACAAGTTGTTCAAAAAATCCTCATAATAACATTTGTTGTTGAAATTGGTCTTAATTGATTCATAGTTTTCAGTGGTGCCTCTTTAGGGATTGGTGAGACATTCGCTAATTTCCATTGTAGTGGCACTTTCGCAGGGAAAATTAAAGATTTTAGTTATCACAGGGGCCAGATGGTGGGCATAGTCTCTCCATAGCCAATATGGTAACTCATCCGGACCGCTACCAGTGCGTTTTTGCCTAATTAGAAGTGTCCAAACTGAATATTCATCGACCATTGGGATTCTAGTTTCCTCAGGAAACATTGGCATGTGCATAATAAAATAACTCTATTACAGCCAGCTTTCTCAGGGATGGATCCAGCATGATCTGGTAGGGGGAGGGGGTGTTCTGGTGCAGAGCTGCGTTGGTCATGGGGGTGCTCTGGTGCCAAGTTGTGTCGGTCTTGTGTGCTGCCGACTTGCTTCACTACTGCAAATTCTTGCTTGACTACAGTATTTGAATTGTTGTTCACAGTTCGCTTATCATCATGTTATTACTCAAGTCACTGTATCTCATTTTGTCTCTAATAATTTTTTGCTTTATCATTAAAAATAGCACCCCCTCTGGCCAGGGCTATGGGGTACACCCCCCCCAGTAAATCCATCCCTGAGTTTTCTTCAAGCACATGCATAATTTCATGTCCATTTACTTATAGATATTTTCAAAGTGTTGCATATTGACAGTACATACAACTTGTTTATGGGCTACCTGGGGAAAAGAAGAATACCATTACCTGCATGTGCCTATTATGTGATACGAAGCAAATTTGGGGGAAAGGACTTTCAGGGTTATGATGATGATGAATCATCATAATATACTGTAATTGGTTTATAGATTGTTTTACATACTGTATATTATCAGCTTGTTATATAAATATAGTTTGTCCTAGTCTCATGGGCTAGAGTTACTGTAATTTTCCTGTTAAGCCTCCCATTGTTGGGGCTTATTCGTTTCAGGACGATTTGAGGTAGTGCTATTAAAAAATTATAATCTATATAAGAGAAGGGGCTTATAAATAGAGAGATTTTGGTATTCAAGACTTTCAAGTTGTCAATAGCAATACAAAATAATTGAAAGTTAAACGAGACTTACCTGTAAGTTGAAGTTTGACGTAGATTCTACAAAATATTGGTTATTGAGCTAAGGAGTCACGTGAGATATGCGCGCGAAGCAAGCTAGATCACACTTTAAAGCAGAAGGGTCATGACATCACAACCTGGGAGGGAGATTGTGCAATACAATGTGTAGGTCATATCCCAACACTGGGAGGGAAGGTTGACTCCTTAGCTCAATAACCAATATTTCGTAGAATCTACGTCAAACTTCAACTTACAGGTAAGTCTCGTTTAACTTTCAATTCTACTTCATGATTGGTTATTTTCGCTAAGGAGTCACGTGAGACTTCAAAGCGTCATGACCCGTAGAGCAAAATCACAACAGTGAAGCTCAATCAATGTGAATGATATATAGTGAAAATATTAAATCAGTAAACAGTACAAATAAACAGTACGGAGTTAGTTCAAGAGTTTTGACTCATGATGGCAGACAATAGGTCTTCGCCATAGTTCTTTGTCATATCTACAATAGTTTTGTTGTAGAACTTACTAAACGTGGTCTGATTAGTCCACCCTGCGGCAGCAAGAATTTTTTTGATTTCAATATGCTTCCTATGTGCTGCTGAAGTGGAAGTCGCCCTGGTGCTATGAGCACCATATATCTCTGTGTTTATTCCAGCTTTGTGCATAACAGTTTTAATCCACCTCGCAAGAGTGTCAGTTGAAACAGGATTGTGCGGTTTCCTGAAGCTCACAAACAATTGGGTATGTTTACCTCTCAATGTTGATGTTTTTTCCAAATAGGACTTCAAGTGTTGCACCGGGCACAAATTTTTGTTACCCGGATAAGCTGCTATCACCACTTTGTTCAGATGTTTTCCCGGCTGAGAGGTTTTCAGCAACACATCAATTTCAAAACTACACTGGTCTGATTTTAAGTTCATCTTATTGATGCATAATGCCTTGAGGGTCTGATGCCGCTGACTTGTTGTAATTGCGAACAGCATAGACAGTTTGAGTGACAAAACCTTAAGTGAACTGTCTTCAAGTTTCCATTCTTCAAGAACTTTAAGCACGACAGAGATATCCCACGTATCTTGATATTTAGGAAGTGATGGTCTCAGTTCAAATACACCTTTAAGGAGTCGTGTTGCAAGTGGGTGAGAACCAAAACTGACATTTCCTGGTAGCAGAAGGATAGAGGATAATGCACTTCGTGCAGTATTAATTGCGCTGTAACCGACGCCGGATTCATACAGGGATGATAAAAAATTTATTCCATCTGATATAGTGGGATGAATTGGATCAATTTTCCTCTTGTTACAGTAAAGTTCCCATTTCTGGAGGTAAGATCTATACTGTTTGGCAGTCCCTTGTCTCCAAGATTGGACGATAATGTTGGAAGCACCTGCTGAAATGCCTTGTTCTTCAAGGGATTTCCAGACAAGTGGCAGATTATTAGCTCTAGATGCGGATACAGTGGATGTATTGCTTCCGGATTGCTCGGGAGGATCAGTGTCGTCTTTGTTTTTGGTAATAGTATTGGTTGAGCTATTAGTTGACTCATTAGTTTTGGCCACCATGTCTGAGTTGGCCATCTTGGGATTACCACAACAACAGTGCACTGTTCCTCCTGGACTTTCTGTAAAATTCTAGAAATGAGACAGAACGGTGGAAATATATAAGGTTGATAGCTCTTCCATGACATATGGAAAGCATTTACAGCTATAGCTCCTGGATCAGGATGGAAAGACACATATGGTTCTATTTGGTAGTTTATTCTTGAAGCAAACAGATCTATATCGGGTGTTACCCCTAATCTAGATATTGCATCATAAAATATCTGTTTATTGAGCGACCACTCAGCACTAGTGTTGGTGATTCTAGACTGATGGTCAGCTTCAACATTTTCTACCCCAGGAATGTGGACAGCTGTAAGCCAAATATGTCTTGCACGACACCAGAGCCACATAGATTTGCTAAGTGCATTACGTAAATCTGACTTACTGGTACCCATGTGATTAATATCAGATAGCGCAGTCATATTATCAATCATAACTTTTACATGTTTTCCTGCTAAAGAGTTTGCAAAGGTTTTCAGTGCCAAGAAGACAGCTAACAACTCTAGGTAGTTTATATGATGTTGTGCCTCATCTTTGGTCCAGTTTCCCCCTGTCCTAGTTTCACCCAGGGTACAACCCCAACCTGTAGAAGAGGCATCTGTGGTTAATACAATAGCTGGTAGCCCATGGCTAACAACATTGTAGCTGTCTGGGGCAGAGTTGACCCACCAGGTCAACTCCTCTCTAGCCTCATCATTTAATGTCATTAGAGAGTCAAAATTGCCTTTGTTGACCTTAAGGGCTTGCGATTTCACACCTTCGAGGTGTCGAAAAAAGAGTGGCCCTAGCATGACTCCTGGGAAAGTCGAAATTATATATCCCACGACTTGGGAGACCTCTCTGATGGTCGGCGAAGTGTTCTTTAATAGTTTAGAGCACATCTCAATGACCTTAGTTACTTTCTCAGGTGTCATATAGACTCTCATTAGAACTGAATCAAGTATAAATCCTAAAAATATTAGTCTCTGTGTTGGGATAAGCACAGATTTGTCAGGGTGAATAACAAACCCTAGTGTAAATAGCAGTCGGACAGTGTCTATAACATTTTCTAGACAGCTGACATAGTCATCCCCTTGTAGATATGAATCATCAATGTATGGGGACGAAATGTGTCCCAGTTTTCTCAAAACTGCATACACTGGTTTAAGAAGTTTTGTGAATTTCCGTGGGCAACTAGCAAGCCCGTTTGGGAAGCATGTAAATGCATATAGTGAACCTTCCCATGCAAATTTTAGATATTTTTGGTGTGGCTTGGCAATAGGGACCGAATAATACGCGTCCTTAAGATCCACTGACGCCATAAAACAATTAGGGGTCATAAGCCTGATAGCATCAATGAGTGTTTCCATTTTAAAATGGTGGTATTCTACATGCTGGTTAAGATCTTTCAGATTTAAAATCATTCGACTTGTGCCGTCCTTTTTGGGGCGTACAAAAATTGGAGATATGAATTCTCCAGGTTCATGTTGTACATGAACAATTACAGCTTTGTGAAGTAGTTTCACAATTTCAGCCCGTATGACAGCCTGTTCGGCTTCCGTACACTTGGATAGTGACCTTGGATAGTTTTGAAGCGGCATGGTGTCGAATTCTATACGTTGGCCGCTCACTATATCTAAAATCTCTCGATCGGAAGTAATTTTTTCCCACTCATGATAAAAATGAGCAAGACGACCACCACGAAAGTGGCTTATTTGCATGTTAAAATGCTCCTTCAACACCGGTAAAAACGTTAAAAATTCGTTTACCTTAACTTTAGATAGATGTGTATAAATTATATCCTTGTCGATGGCAGTCACTTCTTGTTGAACTTGTTGCCCCCTTCCCGCTTTTTCTGATGACTGGGGAATCTGTTGTTCGACCAACGCGGGTTGGGGCCTTTGGATAAAAAAGACTTTTCACGATCATTTCTTGGATGCCGTTGAAAAGTCGATTTGTTGTGACTGCCAAAATGTCCAGTCGTGGACTGGGTGGCCGTTTGGCTAATTCGATTCGACGCTCGAATTGCATTTAGTTGGCTTTGTAATTCATCGCCAAACAACATCGAGGTTACCGATGTTTGGGAAGAGCACAATGAAGCATACTCTTTATTCAAGCTGGGTTTCATCGTTTCGCGACGACGGAGTGAAAGGTCATAATTTGTATGCCCCAGGAGAGCAAGGGCATCCACTTGAAGTGTGAGAACTTCGTTCATGGTGTTGTTTTCGCCGCCTTCATGGCGCCGAATGCCGCCAGTTTGGCGGGCATTCATAAGCAGTTGAGCAGACTGTGTGAGAGCTGTGCCAACTGCCACCAAGGTTTTTTGGATAGCGACAAGTTTAAGGTCCTGTCGTTGGCCCATGTTTGATATTCGGGACCAAATTTCGGGATTTACCTTGGGAGCAAACAATCGTTCGCAGTTCTCTGGTCGGTCATATTTCGCTATTTTCTCTTTGAATTTGTCGTCCGATAATTTTGACGACCATCTCTTATTGACGATATCAGCCAGCTGAGTCGAGACCGGACTACTTGTTTTATCGTCAGCCGAATACTCCATAGCTAACGTTGTGAGGAATGCATCTTCCTCGTCGCCATCTTTAGTTTCAGCTGATTCGGTCTCTTGCTCTGAAGGATGGTCGTCAATCAGGGCATCAACATCACTCCCTTCTTGATCATTCGACCTCCTTTTCTTGCTGCTCAGAGTCAAAGACTCTGCTGACTCCACCGCCCGAGAATCTCGTTTGGCAGTAGCGGTTGGAGTTTGTTTTATTTTGCGGATTTCTTGACTCATATTTGACATATTGTTCGCCAAAGTAGCCATATGAGCATCTATCGATCGAAGGACGTTTTTTATGGTCGGATCATCTTCGCTAGTTGATAAATCGTCCTCCTTGAGCAGTTCGTTTTCTATCTCGTCTTTTTCCGCCATTTTTCTACGTGTGTTCTTCGCAACGTTTCGCTTGCAAGTGATCTAGCTTGCTTCGCGCGCATATCTCACGTGACTCCTTAGCGAAAATAACCAATCATGAAGTAGAATTGCTTTCACAGAGATATCTATAAATTTGTATCATGATTAATTTTCAATAAAATATTTACATCTACTGTATATTTATACATTAGAATTATTGAAATGTTATTTTTGGTTCCTTGGACAGTTCAGAACATTTTTATGGCCTTTCATAGGTTGGCCACATGTTCTGCAACATGGTTTTGCTTGTTCTTGTGGAGGTGGTGGTTGGACTTGTACAGTAGAAGGTGCTAAAGAAAATAAATGGTTTTTGTGAATGTACAGTAAAGTTTTGTTGAAACATATTAAGATTCAATATTACTTCCTACAGTCACACCATTATGTATATTTTACACAATGTATTGTACAGTATACATTTATTTGTACAGTACCTGCAGTAGGTGGAATGTTGGCAACAACCATTCCCTTGTGTTCAATCATCTTTATAGCCTCATTTCTTGGCTGCTTTTCCAGCATTGTATTCATTGGAGCTGGTGTCATATTTACTAATTCTTTATATGCCTTTTTTATTTCATCACTTTCTGCACTTAGCATGGTCTGATATAATTCTTCAACATAACCTAAATGTAATGAATGAATGACATTGCAAACCTCAATATGTCTACCACTTAAGGCAGTATAGCCACAATATGTACATGTATACTGCTTTTTTAAATCTTACCCTGACGAATAAAGTCTATAGGTGGCCTATAGGTTCCTATAGGAAATGTTCCAATTCCCTATACAAGCCTTTAGGCACCTATAGAAATCTATAGGCTTATAGGCATCCCTATAGGTCACCTATAGAAAATGTTCCAATTGCCTATAAAAACCTATAGGTTTCCTATAGGTTGGCCTATAGGCCAAGGTCTATAGACTTTTTTTGTTAGGGCCAAAATTCTGCTGGACTCGAACACTCACTACAGTGGCTTCGCCATTTTTTAATTTTGGGTACACAACTTTGACTTGTGACTTTCCAGTTTGGGTTCATAGTTCATCTCTGTTGAGGTTCTTGTTAAAATAAATAACCAAGATGTGTGTAAATATTGTAAAATAATACTGCAGCTCTAGTTTTAGCTGTTCATATCTGAAGATAATATTAGTTGTACCAAATAGTTGTTGTTCTGTTAATCCTTTAAGTGGCAATGCACCCTACTTAGTATTTTACTCTCTGTCTAATGCCAGATTATTTTACTTTATTATGTGGACAATGGTGTTTTACTGGAAACTAAAACACTCGTAGAACTCATACGTCACTACATCCTGGGCCAGGTGCGCGTATTTTCGTATTTCACCCCTGCTAGTGACATACGAAGTTATGAAAATTTCCCGCCATTTTCACTGTTGTTGTTTTGAAAATACAAATGGTCTTTGGTTCGTATTTAAAACGAAATTAACGTTGGAAATAAAACGAAAACATTTAAAAGACATCTTGAAATAAGTAAAATTTATTCTAGTTTTATGTTTGCATTATAATTCTAAAAAATATCGCTTTTATACTGATCTTTCGCGTGCTTATTTACATGTCGTTTTTGTGTGTATTTTTGTGACTCTGAGTAAGTCCATATAATAAACAGAACATTAAATGGTTGCGAGAAGATATGGATTTATGTTCTCGTGTCAAAAACAATATCTCACTCATTTGCTGCGCTCACTCGTGAGATATTGTTTTTGCCACTCGAACATAAAATCCATCTCTCTTCGCAACCGTCTAATATCCTATATGTACTCGTCAAGTGAAGAGTGCTAATTAATGATAATATTAACAGGAAATATCTTGACAATGATGGTGAAACAAGACTACCTAGCCATCTGTGTCTTTTATTAACCCATTGATTCACAGCACTATCCCCCTGACGAGTAAATCGTCTGGTGTTATACAGAGTAAAATAATAAAGTGGGCTCAATGCCACTTATTAAAGGGGTTAAACCATAACACCACATTTGTACATCCTAGATCATACTGTATAACTATAAGATACAAGCATATACCTGCAATACATCCCTTGAAACGAGAATGCAATCATTATTGGAGAACTAGGGATCCAAGGATAGTGCAGAGTTTCAAAGACAAACGCTATAAGGCATGCTTATTAATTGAATAGCTTTTCAAGCGTGGTTTATAGCCTTAATCACATGTCGTAATAGCGCGGGGAACTGTTACAACAGTAAAAATGCTAAGATCTGGTTTAAATATAATACTTTAAGGTTGAAGAATAACGAGAGTTATGCAATATTATTTATTTCCCCATATAATATTATAGTGACAAGGCATAATTTCTGTTATGT